CCTTTTTTTGAATTTTTTTTTTTTTTTTTTTGGTACTGGGGATCAAACTCAAGCCCTTACATTTGCCAGTCAGGTGGCAGAACCACTGAGCTAAATTCCCAGCAGTTCTTCTTTAAATGTTTGGTGGAATTCTCCAGTGAAATAATCTGAGCCGGGAGTGGTGATGCACATCTCTAATCCCAGCACTTGGGAGGCAGAGGCAGGACTGGAAATTTCTTTTTAATAAAAGGATTTTTAAAATTAATAATTCATTTTCCCTTGTAACCATAGAGCTATTTAGTGTTCTATCTCAATTTGAGAGAACTGTGGTAGTTTGTGGCAGGGAACAGGGAAAGAGTATGATAGTAGAATTTCTGCAGAAAGTCCTAGTCTCCTGTGAACCATGACAGCACAAGGCCGATGAGTTTATTAGACAGAAAAGAGAAAAAATGAGACTTAGAGAAGAAGCTGAGCTTTAGGCCTGATCAGTGTTGCTCTGCAGCAAAGACAAAAGACCCCGAGCTTGCCACGCCTTTATTCAGTACATCAGGAGAAACAAATGTAACAGATGACTCAGGGCAGAGAGAGTTCAGTACATCGGGAAAATAACAAATAAATGGTCACTCGGAGCAGCAGCGTCACCAACAGCGAAAGTCCTAGAACAATGAGGAACTATGCAGGTGAAGATTTTGTTCCTCCCAGGATGTCTTCAGCTGGTGTAGTCTTGTCTTGGAGCAGCACAGCATCACTGGACTTTTGAGGTTTTAGCTGTGATTGGAGGCCAAAATGGAGTTCTGTCTTGACATGCTGTAGCTGACCTATAGGCGGGAGAACTAGGCCTAATCATCATTTCATTGTGAAATGAGTTTCCCCCAAAATTATGTAGACTTGCGCCTGACAGTTTGTGCTTTTGTTTTCTTTTTTTGTTTGTTTTTTGAGACAGGTTCTTATGTGTAGTACGGGCTGGAATTAAAATTCCTGCTTCAGCCTCTGGAGTGCTGAGATTATAGATGTTTGCCATCCCACTAGCCAGTTTGTGCTTTTACAGGAATTAATCTATTTCAACAAATTTAGGACTTATGGATACAAAGTTGTAGTATTCCTTTATTCTTCTTTTGACATCTTCAAGTTCTATCTTGATTTCCCAATTTCATAGGCATATTGGTAATGTATGGTATGTTCTCTCTCACTCTCTGTCATACTTGCTTGATATCTGTCAATTTTATCGATATTTTCAATAAAAACCAATTCCTCTATTTTTGTTTCATTGATATTTTCTATTGCTTTTATTTTATTTCAGTTTCTTTATTATTATTACCTCCTCCTCCATGCTATACATTTTCTCCTCAGCCCTGTTTTTTTTTTTTTTTTCTGTCCTCCTTACTGTTTTAACTGTGTCCTACAAATTTTGTTAAGTGTGGCATTTTCATTTATTTCAGTGTTTTTGAGACTTCTTTTGAAATGGCAAACTTTCCGTTCTGTTGAATCAGCTCACTACCGCTAGTGCAGGAGGGTGGAAAACACACCAGGAGCCGGGGAGACAAAGTGGAACTAAAGCTTTATTTAATACCAGCGGACCAGTCTGCGTTCGGTTGCATGAGACTGGCCCCGTCCAGCGCTCCGCAAAGGAGGATATACTCTTTGGGAGGGGTGGGGTTACAGATAAGGCACATTTGACGTTTGGCTACAGATTTGAATGTCAACAAGTGGATTCAGTCGTGGTAATGGTTCACATATGATACTGGCAACATGTTTATTGGGTAACTTAAAATATGAAGTTTCTATATCATTTACATTCTGGCGAAATGACAAAACTCTTTCGGGGACAAAGACATTCCTGAGATGTGAAAGTTGGCTCAGACATATGTGGTGCAGGACAGATTCAGACACGTTGAAGAAAGAAAATTTCAAGTAGGAAATTTCCCTGGTAGTAAGTCCAGCTTGAACCATGGAGACAAAATTCCCCTTTCAGTTTGGCATATGGATATTTAGACCTATATTATTTAGTTTCTAAGTATTTAAAGATTTTTTTTGTTGTCTTTGTTATTAATTTCTAGCTCAATTACATGGTGGCTAGAGAACATCCTCTATATATTTAAAAAAAAAATATATATATATATATATATTTTTTTTTTGTACCGGTGATAAAACTCAGGACCTTATACTTGTGAGGCAGGAGGCCGAACCACTGAGCTAAATCCTAGGCCTGCTCTCTATACAATTTTAAGGTTTAAATTTGTTGAGAATTTAATTTGGCCCAGGATGTGGTTTATCTTAATATACTCAATGAACACTTGAAAAGAATGTATATTTCACTATTATTAGATGGCGTGTTCTCTAAATATTGATTAGATTTTGTTGGTTAATGGTGTTGAATTTTATATTCTTGCTGATTTTCTAATTGTTCTATCAATTGTCAAGAAAGGGGTGTTGTATCCTTCAATTATAATTGTGAATTTTCAACTCCTTTTAGCTCTATCATTTTTGCTTCACATATTTTGTAACTCTCTTATTTGGTGTATACATATTTAGGATGTTATTTTAGTAGTGTCACCCTTTTATCATTATACAAAGTCTTTCTTAGTCTCTGATACTTTTCTGTGCTCTGAAGCCTACTTACCTGATTTCTAGTGGGTGATAATACCACAGGTTCTTTAAAATTGATTAAGTTTTTGGTACATTTTAGATATTCATAATGATCACATTCACCATAGGGAATTTGTACCCTGTATATGATATATCTGGCAGCTTCTTTTTTCCCCATCCCCCCACCCTTGCCCTAAACCCCTCTTCCTCTCCTTTACAAAAGTTTTAAGGAGGGGGAAAGGAGAAAGGAATGAAGGGAAAATAAAAAAATGAGAAAAGAAGGAAAAAATGGAAACAAAGCCACAGGTTTTTCTTTTTCTTTTTTTTTTTTGTTAATGTGTTACCACTGGAGTACAGCATGTATTTATCATCTAAATGTTTCCAGTCGTGCTAGGCTGACTTCCTCCTGGTCCTTTGGTTAGAGAGAGCTGACTTTTGCTTGTAGATTTTTTGTTTGTTTTGTCATTTCTGGGTTACTGGATTTTTTCCAGCTCCTGGTGCATTATACACAAAGTGAAAAGAAAACCCAGGGAACTCACCACCCTGCTGTTCCTTGGGTCCCAAGTTCCCTAGCTGGTCTACCTTCTTCTCTGGTTTTTTAGAACCTTCTTATTTTGGCCGAGGATTTAGCTCAGTGGTGCTGCCGCCTGCCTTGCAAGCACAAGGACCCGAGTTCGATCCCCAGTACCGGAAAAAAAAAAAAAAAAAAAAGAACCTTCTTATTTTTGTAGTATATATAATGTCCAAGTTCTTTAGTTGTACTTTGCAGGAAGAATAAGGGAAGTTCCTGTACTACTCATTCTGAGAGGAAGAAACTGGAAAGCAATATACATACTTAAACTTATATTTTCTATCAATACATATAGTCTGTGGCTTATATCAGTTATAGTCTGTATCCACCCTCCATTTCTTGGAGGGAAACACCCAGAAGAAAATGAGCCCAACTATCAGTAAAAGAAATCTCTAAGTGGAGGACTTACAGGTGATTTTTCATTTCTTTATTTCCTTTTCTGTGTTGTCTGTATTTTCTACAATAAGCATGTACCACTGTAAATAGGATTTGGAAGCTCAGGGGTATGTGTAAATTATTTTGCAATTATTAGGTAAAATCCTATTATATCTCTTTCATTTCTACCTGTAAAACTGAGTTTCCATGAGCCCCCCTTTTTTTTTTGCTTATTATGATAACCAATAAAATTTCAGGTTCCAACCTAAAATAATGCAAAATTTTGTAACTAATAAAAGGAGTCTCAGAGAAGTCCCATCTCCTTTCATCAAAAGAGAAAGCACTACTCTTCTGATTCAAGAATCCAGTTTGATAATGTGTTCAATGGAAGACTTTTATGAGCATCAGTCTTGTTTTCTAGGGAAAAATAGAGATTTGGGGCTGGACACATAGCTTGTTGGTAGGGCTTGTGCCTAGCTTGCACAAAGCTCCAAGTTCTGTCCTCAGCACCAAAACTAAAAATAAAAATGGATACTTCATGATTGTTTACCAGCTTGTTCTGTCAATGTCAATTTGTCCTTGGAAGTAAAATCTGATTAAGGAGATCCTGTAGAACTCCTTTAAGAGTTGCCATAGCCCAAGAAAATTACTTTCAAAAGGAATCTATAAATTTACTTGGTTATCTTATTTCAAAAGTTGTTCCCTGAGCAATAAGATTATACTTGATATTTCTGTGTTACTATACAACAGAAATACTTGTAAAATTGCCTCGTCAAATTAGAATCAGATCATAATTATAATGAGTAATAATCACACTGAGTGAAAGTAGCCAAATCCCCCCAAAATGTGCTGTATGATTCCATTTATATGAAACCTCAGAAAATGTGATATGAAACAGATGAATGGTTGCCTGCAGAAGGTGAGTGAGGATGTAGGAATTACAAAGGAGCATAAATTTTCAGGAGTGGTTCATATGTTTATTGTCTCGATTGTGGCAATGGTTTCCCAGGCACATTTTTGTTCAAATTCATCCAAGTTACACAATCTAAATATGTTTATTTTATGTATGTTTATATACCTCGATAAAGTGGTCTTAAAAATGTAAGGTGAAGAAGCCACAAATTGAAAATTATTTGCCCGACATGGACTAACAAAAAATGTTTACAATATAAATTATTGCAAGTCAATAAGAAAATTACACTCATATGTATCTTAGAAAAACGCTTATACTACAAGTCATTTACATGTGTAGATGCAGTTTTTAACAGCAAAAACCCAAAAATAACTCACATGTCCTTTGTTAGTAGGATAATTTTTGACATAATCACGTGATGGAACACTTTGCAGTCATTAAACTTCATTAGCAGTAATTGCTCTGAGCGACAGGTTGTAACTTAGGAACACTCTGTTGAGTTAGAAAAAAGATAAATACAGTATGATTCCACTTAAAGGTTAAAAGTACAAAATTATTACAACTATAAAAGAATGGACATGATAAGTACGAGATCAGGAGGGTGACCGCTGAGGAGCAGGGTAGACAATGCAGCTGGACAGGCGCCAACACGGTACTTCAAGGATAACGGTACTAATTCATTCCTTCATCTGTAGGAGAGTACAAAAGAGTACATTACATTACTATTCTTTATGCCTTCTCATCAGATGTATCCTACTCAATTAAAAATAAGGGAAAGATAACATCTGCCCATCAGTGACAGCCAGGAATAGCAGAGGAGGGCATCAAAAGCCTGACCGGTCCTCGGATGAAAGCTGGGACTTGCCCCATAGCCCTGTGAGTATTTTTGAGCTGATCCTAACGGCAGAACTAACTCAGTAAACTGAATCTCACTCTCTGTAAGCTCCGTGCCATTCCAATGCTGCCCCCCTCCCCCCGCGGAATCTCTCACCTCTTCTAAGTAGTTCATAGAGGGCCGGGGATCTGGCTCAGTGGTTCCACCTCCTGCTTTGCAAGTGCAAGGGCCAGAGTTCGATCCCCGGTACCTAAATAAATAAATAAATAGTTCATGGACCAGGCCTCAACTGAGAGAATTTCCCACTGGATTTACAGTGACTGAAGTGCAATGAACATGATCTTTGCACAAGGTTTTCGGGGTCTTCCTGCTTTCCGTATTGGGGCTGGGGTCCTGTTGGCGATTAATGGAGATGGTATAGGGAGGGTCTCTGTCTAGGGAAGACATTATGGTAAGAGTAGTTAAGGAGAGCGGGTAGCACGAGAAGAAATAGATTTTTATGGTTTTTAAGAAGCCCTTAAATCTCTGTGTAAGCCTGAAGTTCTTTGTGTTTTGGAGTTTTAGGGGTGAGGATGCATCTAAACGCTTTTCATTTAGACTTTTTATTATGGCTGACTAGACTTTTCTTCCTCTTCTGGGGCTGCTAGGCCTTTCATACCACGTCAGCTGCAAGGCTGACTGCCTCACTGCCTTCCCCCGCACCCATATTCAGTCGCCTCTGGATTCCCTGGGGCCTCCTGCACAAAAACATATGCTTCTTAGTGAATGGAAATTTTTTTTTTGGTACTGGGTATTGAACTCAAGTCCTTGTGTGTCCGAGGCAGGCACAAGAATCACTGAGCTAAATCCCTGGCCCTGGAAATTTTATTGTAATTACTTATTTTAGAGTGAGAAAGATCCACTCTTCCTTGCCCATGCCGATCTTTGATTTTTGCACAGCTGAATGGTCATGTTGTCCCTCCCTCTGCCTGTGAGCAAGTCCGCCTTTCTCCCATTTCTGGTGGCTTGACTCCCCTCCACATAATGTATTGAGGGCCTGGTGGGTGCTGTTGCTATGACAGGGAAGGGAAGACTGTGGTCCTTGTGAAAAGAGGCAGGGACTCAGCCTTGAGGAGACCCTAACCAACCAGCAAACATGTAGAAGCAGGGACAATGGTTCTCCTGAGGCCAGCTGGAGCTGAAGAGAGATGCTGTACGTAGCCTCTATATCACCTGTATTTGTGAGGATCCTCGGGTTTCTCAAGCTATCAGATGTCTCCTGTCTCTAATTTCCTCAGGATCAGTGGCTTGAGCTTTGGCTGTGAGCCTGAGCCTCGGGCTTGCTGCTTTGGCCTCTGAAAATTGGTTTCCTTTCTTTTTTTTTTTTTTTTTTCTCTTTGCTGTTTCCCAAGGGACTCATCTCGCCTCGTACTCAGATTTCCACTGACACTGAACAGCCTATGTCACGCTGCAGAAGCAGAGAACTGACTCTAGAAAAATTTGTGTAAAAGTTTGTTTGGGTTTGGATGGTCAGAGCCTACTGGGGCCAAATCTGATATCTGCCTTGGCACCATTACCAATTATCTCCCCCTGTGTCTTGCTACATTCTAGTCGTTAGAAACATAAAGTTTGAGATGGGTTGAGGCAGGGCACTTGAATTCTCATCGCTGATTTCCCAGTGCTTTTCTTCAAGCAATTTCCCACATCCTGGGCCCTCCCTGCTCCTGTTTCCTGTTGCCTCATCAGTGACCTGGATGTTTGCTGCATTAGGTTTTCCCAGAATGCACAGAAAACCCTGCTGATTGTCAGACAGTTGCATGCCTGAAAGGGCTCTGAGCTCTGTTGGGGGATTCTTGAACAATTGAGAGTGCTACCATTTCATCCACAACCCTAAGGATGCACATGGTGCCATAACCAATCTGGCCAAATCTGAATGATGACGGCCAATCACAAATTTGACAACAGGTGCCCGCAGATGAGACAGTTAGATTTACTTCCTCTTTTCTAATTTGAGAGGTTTCATGTTGAAGAAAATCAGTGTGCTGGGGTTGTAGGAGACCTCAATGCAGTCACCATGAAGCTGGGCTATGCCCTCACAGCCTGGGCCCTCTACCTGTCCCCTGCTATGCTCTGGGCAGTGCCAATGTTACCAGGTAAGTACAATGTTTGAGTGTTGGGGAGGGACTATGCCTGACTTTGGGAAAAGATCCAGAGGGGGAAAAAACATGAACTAACTGTGTCTCTCCAAAGAATCGCTGTTCAGGGGGATCAAAAGGTGAGGTATAAGAAAGTATGGTGTGGGGCTGGGGATTTAGCTCAGCAGTTCGGTGGTCTGCCTTGCAAGCACAAGGACCCGAGTTCAATCCCTGGTACAAAAAAAAAAAAAAAGTATGGTGTGCAAGACTGAATGGCTCTTTCTGAATATAATATTTAAGCCTTTTCCATCTCAAAAGTCCTCTAACTGTGGTGCTTTCCTCTAATGACAACCTCAACTCTTACTTTTCTGATACAAGTTTCCTGAAAGAATACTCTGCTCTTGCTGTCCCCACACCGTCACACCTCACTCTTCAGTGTTTGAAGTCTGGCTTCCACTGGAGTCAGGTTTGCAAAGGGCATGACGACCCCCACACCCACCAGGTCCTTGACACTTTCTGTTCTTAACTTGCTGGACCCCTCTGCCGAACAGGTCACTGGTGATCTTTTTGTTTTTCTTTCTCTCACTTTCTACTCCCCTGACTCCCATGTCACCATTTCCTCTTGTACTACTTATACCTCTCTTGGTCCCTTGATAGCATCTCCTCTTCCCTAATGTTCTCTACAGTTATGACTTTTTTGGGGTTTTTTTTGTTGTTTTTTTTTTGAGACAGGTTCTCACTATGTAGTTGAGATTGACCTGGAACTCACTATGTATCCCAGGCTGCTCTCAAACGCACAGTGATCCTCCCGCCTCAGCCTCCAGAGTTCTGGGATTACAGGTGTGCACCACCATGCCCAGCAGGACCACTTTAGTTTTGTTTTTGTTTTGTGGCAAGAACTGCAGACTTGAAATCAGACATTCTAGTTTCAAACTCCTAATTACTAGCTCTATGACACTTTGAAAAAGTCACTTTGAATATTTATGAATTCAGTCTTCTCACTTGTAAAGCATAAGGCTTACAGGGTGAAAAATGCCCATAAGAATTTATTTTTAAAAAGGAAAAAAAAAGAAGGCAGAGTACAGTAGATTGACAGTGGAGAACTGAAAAGATGCTGCAGAGCCAAGAGATGATCAAAAGATAACACCTGCTATGACACGGTGAGAATAGGGAAGTAGCGGCAGCCTTGATAAGGGAAGTTCCAAAGTCAAAGAGTCTTGGGCCAAGGGGAGTAGAAGAGGGTGGGGCAGTGGGACACTAAGTACCTGTGAATGGCCAGCTGGCTAGAAGAGGGTGAAGGGACCGAGGGGGACAAGGAGCAGTTGCAGAGATGGGAGAAGTGACATTGAACTTGCCTGGATCAACCATGAAGACAGGTGATAAGGTGAAGAGACGTGGTGAGAGACCCATAGCTCCACATTCCAACCCAGAGGCACAGCATTCTTCCATAGGCACCATACAGTGAGGGAACAAGAGCCTGGGGTAGAGGAGAGGACAGAGAAAGGGCTCTGTCATTGCTAGGGGAAGTTCAAGGGGCACAGGCATCTGTTCAGATCACTGAAAACTGAAGACCCGATGGGAGAGCAGAGAGGAAGGAGAGACACAGTGAGGTACTGAGAACTCCTCCTGTAGACTAGTCTAGAATGAAAAGCCACATGAACTATGGGGAAATAAAAAGATGGAAGAAAAGTCCTCAGGGAACCTCTGAGGAATGACACAGACCATATCTGCACAGTGGAGTGCAAAGAACACCGACCTTGAGCTCAGATACACCTCCCTCCCTTGCTTCATCCTTTATTCTGTTTTTAAACATTAGGTGTTTTACTGTACGTTGTAAAGCCTGTTTATTCAAAATTTACAAAATGGCGACGAACCATATTGTGAAGATAAAATAAGAAAATATGTGAAAGAGGCGTGCAGCAGTGTGTGGTTCATGGACAGCAACCGACGAATGTTAGAATCTGATATCCATCTTTCCCTCTCTTTCCATTTCTGCCGGCTCTGGGGTCACCACTGTCTTTGACCTCTGATTTCCTGCACCAACAGGTGGATGTCATGCCGGTGAGTTCATCATTCTTTCAATCTCTCCTCTTCCTCTACCCTAAATCACAGTCCTTTCACTGATGATGCCTGGACACCAGCGAGCCAAGACCCATAGGCATCTCTTGGAAAGATGTATTTGGTTATCTTCCTCTTCTAACTCTGAAAAGGACAATTCCCCCAGGAGAGCGGAGGAACCCTCATAGAGGGCCATTCCCTGTCCTTTCTTCTAAGCTACAGCATCATTTTCTGGCTGTCCCTCATCCATGGCCTCTTCAGCTGCCATTTTGGAGATTCTGGAGTGTGGAGGATCTGTCAGCACCAAGGAGAGCAGCTGCCTCACCAATGATGATGGGACCAGCACAGAGGAAGCTGGTTTTCAGCTCAAGGGCTACACTTTCAGCGAACCCTTCCATCTGATCGTGTCCTACGGTGAGGTCCTGGGGAGGGCTGACCAGTGTCCAAGTCCCTTCTTTTAGCTCCACAGGTGACTCAGGAAAGTGGCCCCAGGAAACTTGGCCATGGCTTGAGGTACTGTCTTCCCCATCTCCAGCCCCTAGCAGCCAGGATGCCCTCAGTCCTAGGCCCTAGAGTAGTGCCATATTCAGAACTGGGTCAGCCTCGGAGGTAAGAGAGAGGTGCTGAGGAATATTCAGTGATACCTCGGTTGTCAAACGGCTCCAAGTTCGAGCTTTCCACTACTCGAACAGCAAAGTTAGAAGAAAAAAATCTGCTCAGTGTTTGCAACTTTGCCCGATAGTCAAACTGAAAATCCAGCTTGAAAAAACTTGTCAGGGCTATTCACACACCACATCGCGTCATAGACCCAAAGGGTTGGAGTTTCAGTCTAAGCACTACTCTCACCCAGACAACATACAGTACTTGTATGAGTGCAATGAAACGTTGGTCAGTGTGTGTGTGTGTGTGTGTGTGTGTGTGTGTGTGTGTGTTGGCATTTTATTTGCACAAAGTATCATAGCCATGGCTCCAAAGAAAGTGAGTGATACCATCAGTAAAGTTGAGAGGAAAACTGTGAGAACTGCAGTAGAGTTGAAGAAAAAAAATCATTGTGAAATTTGGATAGCCCTGAAAAAATGAATTTATAAGTATATTTTTGGGGCCTCAGAACCAATTATTTCCTTTTCCATTATTTCTTATGGGAAAAATAGTTCAGTTCTAGAACTTTTTGGTTCAAACACTAACTTGGAACTAATTGAGCTTGACAACTGGTATCACTGTATAAATCTAAATTTCTTTTTTTTTTCTTTTTTTTAATTTGTTGAGACAGGGTCTAGCTATGTATTTTAGGCTGGCCTTGAACTCACTAGGTAGGCCATACTGGCCTTTAACTTGCCGCCATCCTCTTGCCTCAGTTTCCTGAGTGCTGGGATCATAGGTGTGTACCACCACACCTAGCTCATAACTCTTAAATTTCAACCTGGAGGCAAAAAACTGTCCTATGTTTACAAGTTCTATCTGGGAATGGGGGGGTCAAGGGAAAGTAAGGGGCAGAGGACTTTGCTATTGCTAGGAAAAGTACAAGGGACAGAGCACATGATGGTAGAGCACCAAGGAGTGAGTTACCTGGACCCGTGCAGAAAGTTTAGCTGAGTCTGTTGTGGGCATCACTTGGGGAGTTCCCAATGGAGGCAGTGGTTGACACTTAGCTCTTGCTCTTGGTCACAGACTGGCTCATCCTCCAAGGTCCAGCTGCACCCATATTTGAAGGGGACCCACTAGTCCTGCACTGTCGGGCCTGGCAAGACTGGCCACTGACTCAGGTCACCTTCTACCGAGATGGCTCAGCCCTTGGTCCCCCTCGACCTAACAGAGAGTTCTCCATTGCTGTGGTACAAGAGGCAGACAGTGGCCACTACCACTGCAGTGGCATCTTCCGGAGCCCTGGCCCTAGGAGCCCAGAGACAGCATCTCCCGTGACTGTCACAGTCCAAGGTGAGAGCTGGAGGCCATGTGGCTCTGGCAGGATTGGGTGAAGAAGGACAGGGTGCTCTTCCTTTGGCTTGGAATTGGAAAGATTGTTGAATCTTTGGAGGCTGCTGGCAAACAGGTTTTAGGAGGGTCTGTATGTCTGTCTTTCCAGTCATTCGGCCCCATGCAGAGTTCAGTGGGTTGCCTACCACCCACATCTACTTTCTGCTACCTCCAGGTTGGGCATCTGAACTGTTGTCAGATTTGCCCATCTCCTGCTCTTTCCTGGTCCTGTGTACTTGGACAGAGAGAAAACTTGAAAAGTACCAATGGACCTTTCCAAGAGAGCCCATTCCTGACAGAAATGAGAAAGGAAGTATGATCAATGCTTTGCCTCTTGTGGGTCTCCCAGAATATAGGATTGCTGACCTGTTCTTTCTTGCCTATCTTTCTTCCAGAACGGTTTCCAGCCCCGGTTCTCAGAGCCTCACCCTCAGCTGAGCCCCATGAGGGAAGTCCAGTGACCCTGAGCTGTCAGACAAAGCTGTCCCCTCAGAGGTCAGCCACCCGCCTCTTCTTCTCCTTCTATAAGGATGGGAAGAAAGTGCGAAGCAGGGATCTGTCCTCAGAATTCCAGATCCTCACGGCTTCACTCGAGCACTCTGGGTCCTACTGGTGTGAAGCGGCCACAGAGGACAGCCAAGTTTGGAAACTGAGCCCCCGGCTGGAGGTCAGGGTGCAGGGTGAGTGTCTGTGCTTGGTGTGTGTGTGTGTGTGTGTGTGTGTGTGTGTGTGTGTGTGTGTGTAAACACAGGGGGAGACAGAGAGACGGTCAC